GAGATTAACACCAAGATTAGCACCAGACATATAATCAAGCAGTAAACAATACCCTAATCAAGAAACTACCAGAGGGAAAAAATAAAACAAAACAAAACCCCCACCTCCACCAACACTGGCAAGGCATGCTACCATATATAAACAGAGAGCAAACCCCACTCTGTTCTAGCACTGAAGATGTTACCTAGCCGGGTAACGAAACATTTGCAAGAAACAACCAAGCTCAGAGAACCCCAAGGGCGGCACGCTTCTTCACCAGCATAGCAGAGAGCAGAAAGAAATCTCTTGGAGCACAAACACTTTGCTATCTGGGAAATTAATTTATATGAGCACTTTTTTCATTAGTCTATTGAATTCTTTATTGCAAATCCAATGAAATTAATAAAGTCCCCAGGAAATTTAAGGCTCTGGAAGAAAGCAGAAGTCCAGCTTGCATGTCTAGAGTTCAGAGGCACCCACACATTATGTTTTGTAGATGGTTTTGGCTGAAGCACCTACTTTCCAAGTGCCACATCAAGCACATGTGACCACCAGGGAGCCACCTATGGTTAACCTGGGCTTATCTCCAAAAACTGTACAAAATGGCTGCTAACAAACCTCTGATGCAATCACTCTATATTCACAGCTACTTTGTAGCCAGAGTCCTTAAGATCACATTTTATATTTAACTCAATCTTTCCCTTCAGATGATGGAAGTTGGTCCTATTCATCAGAAGGACCCTGTGTGGGGAAGGCTGATGTAGCTTGTTTACATCAGATCTACACTGTGTCAAACATGCAGATTTGGCAGGCTGTAAGTGCCCTTACTAACTCAATAATGATGACGGGAATCTTCAGTTGCTCCAAAAAAGCCTTCATGTGGGCCCAACAGAAGGGGGCATCGGTTACCTGCGAACAGGAGCAACCGTCGTGTTCTGTTTTTGACCTTCAAATTCACCTGGCACCTATTGTGATGGATTCTAGGTAAAATGGTTTGTCTTACGTCTTGGCGTTTAATGTTGTTATTTAGGTTCCCTTTGGGCAACCAGGGAGGCAGGGAATGAAATGGAAGTGAACCTTCGGTTGGTTCACAAGGAGGTCTGTTTTTCCTTGAGAGAAAACAGTTTAGCAGAAAGCATGGAAGGAACATACCACAGTCTTGCCTGTCCAGAGTGGCCTTCGCCTAGGAAGACCTGAAAACATTGTTACTTGTTGTTTTACAGACTGCATGTTTACACATGAATGGGACTGGGTGGCTCTTTTGTAGCTTCTCGTGAACTCCTCATTTGCTTCTTCCCAGCCCACACCTCTGGCTCATCTTGGAAGTATAAGGAAGAACAGCTCAAAAAAAGGGAAAGGGAAAGGGAAAGGGAAAGGGAAAGGGAAAGGGAAAGGGAAGGGGAAGGGGAAGGGGAAGGGGAAGGGAAAGGGAAAGGGAAAGGGAAAGGGAAAGGGATAGGGAAAGGGAAAGGGAAAGGGAAAGGGAAAGGGAAAGGGAAAGGGAAGGGGAAGGGG